TGTGAACCACTGTATGGAAAGTGAATTTTCTCTGTAAACCTTCACCCAAATCACAATAAAAACAAAAAGAAATAAGGTGGAGAGGGAAGGAAGGGGACCACCACCCCAGGGCACTCAGAGCCCAGGCCCAGCACACACCAGGAAGGATGGAAGGGCCAAATCTGTGCTCAGAAACAACCCTCACTCACTCAAATCACAATATAAATTTTAAATAATAATAATTATAATAAAAGAAACAACCTTCAGACCCCCACTGATCAGCCACTTAAAGATGACTCTGGACATATGGTCCCTGCACCCAGTGGGATAAAGTGCAAACATGAGAAGTGCTTCCAAAGTGAAGTCAGGGAAAAATCTGTCTGCTTTCTGAAGACTACCTTTTAAGAGGATGCCCACACTCTATGTTTTCTCCAAATTGCCGGCATCATTGTTTATTTATTTACTGAGCATCAACTCTGCCAGGAGCACATCATTTCCTTTAAGCCTCTCACCATCCTGAATGCAGGTATTATTATAACTGTCATCTCACAGAGGAGGAAACCAAGGCTCAGAGACAGGAGTGACTTACACCAGGTCACACAGCCAGGAAGTGGTGGTGTCACTGAATCCAGAATATTCACAGACTCTGAGCGTCAGAGCCAGAGGCTGACACTTAGGCAGCGTCTAGTCCAGCCCCTCCCCACAGTGTGGCAGTCAGGACCAGAGAGAGGAAGGGGCCCTCAGCAGATGAGTGGGAAAAACCAATGGCAGTACAACATGAGCTAATCTCGGAGCCTACCACCTGTCTGTTTGTTGTACTGTGATGGGTTGCATGTTGCTACGATTCTGGAAGCTATGCCACCAGTATCTCAGGTATCAGCAGGCTTACCCACGGCGGACAGGTTTCAGCAGAGCTTCCAGACGAAGGCAGACCAGGAAGAATATACTTCTCAAAATTAGGCAATAAAAACTTTATGGATCACAACAGAATACTGTCCAATTTACTTGTTTTGGACATGTCCTCAGAAGGGCTCAATCACTGCAGGAGGAAATCATGTTTGGTGAAATAAATGAGGGCAAAGGAGACCCTGGGTGAAATGAATTGTAACAATAGCCTCAATGATGGATTCAAACTTGCCAACATTTATAAGGATGATGCAGGACCTAGCAATAGTCTGTTCTGTTGTACATAATGTTGCCATGAGTTAGAGTTGACTCGAGAGCAGTTATCCATCTATTTACCTTGAAATTGGAGTCCCAGGGTGGTGCAAAGAGTTAATATGCTTGGCTGCTAACCAAAAGGTTGGAAGTTCAAGACTACCCAGAGGAATCCCAGGAGAAAGATCCGGGTGACCTACTTCCAAAGGATCAGCCATTCAAATCCCCGTGGAGCACAGTTCTGCTCTGACACCATGGAGTCACTATTAGTCAGAATCAACTGAATGACAACTTTTTTTTTTTTTTAATTCTTTTTTTAAACCTTGAAATCATGTCTGAGAAAGTGGTAACATGTATCGGGCACTTACTACAAGACTCTGGAGAATGGAGGATGAACAACGAGGAGCCAGACTGTGTTCCCCAGGAGTGAGCAATGTAGTGGGGAGATAAGACAAACTCCTAGTTCATGGAAGGAAGACTGAAGCCACAAGACAGGGACCTGCTTGTGAAGATGGGGCCCAGAAAGAGTGGGGAGCTACATTCCTCTTAGGCCTCTTCATTCTCATTCCCAGGGTGGTTCCCCTATTCCTCCTGGACCTGGGGCAAAGAGTGTTCCAGGCTGGCCTTCAGTCTAGAAGCAGGAGAGAACTCTTGGGGCTAATTACAGAACAAGGCTGGGGTTCAAATGAAGTGGCTAGTGGTCCTGAGGGGAAGGTCAGCTCAGACCTGAGGCAGCACACATCAGCTGGCCATAGGTGGCTGAGGTAGGTGCCAGACACCAGTAAACCATTGTCTGATTGATCAGCCCTCAACCTGAGCATACTTCTGACTCACTCCCTCACTCACTCATTCAGCCTACATTTGTTGAGCATCTACCATGTGCCAGGCAGGGTGCTGCATGCTGGAGGTAGATGACAAGGGCAGACATGACCCTGTCCTCTGGGTACCACACAGCTCGGTGCCGTTGCTTAATCCAGGTCTTCCTTGCCTTGCAGACACTCATTACCGCCATGGGGCAGACAGCCTACACCGTGGCCTCGGTGCTCATCCTCCTCTTCCTCTTGATGTACGTCTTTGCTATCTTAGGCTTCTGCCTGTTTGGAGCTCCAGAGATGGGTGACCTGAAGAACTGGGGGAACCTGGCTGTGGCCTTCTTTACCCTCTTCAGCTTGGCCACGGTACTGTGTTTGGGAACAGTGGTGGGGTAGCCAGGGACCTTGAGAAGTTTCTGCCTAGGTAGTGTGGGCATGTGAACACATTGAGCCTTGTGTGGGTTCTTCCTCATGTTCAGATACTCAGTTGGGTCCAGAGAAGCTAGAAGCTGGCCTTCTAGGGTTAATGAGAGGCCATTGGATTGGGGAGATATTGAGAGGCTGATATAGAGGCAGAGCCAGCCTCATCTTTAGTGTAGCTGGGCAGGAAGCACTCATTGGGCCAAGGTTTCCTGGTGTAGGTAGAATGAGTCCTGTCTCACTGGAACTTGGCAATCAGCATGCTCTGTCCTGGTCTGAGCAGGTGGATGGCTGGACAGACCTGCAGCAGGAGTTAGATAATCGAAATTTTTTGCTGAGCCGGACATTCACCATTGTCTTCATCCTGCTTGCGTCCTTCATCTTCCTCAGCATGTTCGTAGGTGTGATGATCATCCACACTGAGGTGAGACTGCATTTGTAGGCATTGGGGATCAGGTGAGGTGTGGCAGGCAGGTGTGGAGAGGAAGTAAAGATGGAGAGGAAGTGGCCAGGTGGGTCCCCTCTACCCCAGCCTAACTCCTCTCCCTGAGCCAATGCATTTTCCCTGCATAATGATGGTGGTGAGCAGGACAGTGGGATTTGGGAAGCCACTGTGGCGGCAGTTGGCAGCTTGAGTTGGGACTGGCCCTGTATTGGGGAGGTGGTCCTCCTGCTGAGGGGCCTGAGTGGTGGTGTAAGGCTAGGGGAGAAGAAGTACTGGGGATGGGCACATAGCAAAAGCCTGCATCTGCCCTCCACCCTCTGAATCTCTAGGATTCCATCAAAAAGTTTGAGCGGGAGCTGAAGGTGGAGAGGCACATGATCCTCATGGAGGAGAAGCAGGTGATTCTGAAGCGGCAGCAAGAGGAGGTCAGCCATCTGATGCAGACTCAGGTAGGTGCTTGACACCAGTAAGCAGATGGACAGACAGACAGAAGCTGGACAGTCAGGGCTGAAGAATGGACAGGAAGAGGGATCTTGGGGCCCGTGTAAAGAGTGTCAGACATCTGTGGCCTTAGGTAAGGTAGATATACCTACCCCCGTATTTCCCAGAGTCAGGTTTTATGTTCTGCATTTTTCTATTTCTCTGGACTATGGTGATTATTACTTATCCCTCTATCATGGGCAAAACTCTACTGGGTCTTTGGGACCAGGCAGTGTATGCTGGAGTAACCTGAGGTCACTGAGGGCACATTGGTGCCAGCCAACCATGGCACATGGTAGGTGGGGATACTGAGGCTCTGAGAAGTTAAGTTACTCACCCTTGGTTACCTCATGTCATTTCTGAAACCAGGCCAAGAATGAGCATGAAAGGCAGGACATGGTCTGAAGCATGGCACAGCTGTGAGGCACTGTGGGGGGTCTTCTTATTTCAGCTTCAGTGCTCTCAGCTGCCCATGCCAAGCCCTGGGCATCCTAACCATGCTTCCCCTTTTTCCTTCCTCTGGCCAGTCCATACCCCACCATCCTCTTCTCTGAGTCTGAGACATCTGCCCTCCTGACAGTCTTGCCTCTCTTGCCTATGCCCAAGCTTTGTCCAGGACAATCTGAGGCCATACTGAGCCAAACTCAGAGCTTTCTCCTATTCCTTCTGAATTATCTGCCCCATGGACAATGATGGTGGTCCCATGCTACCTCAGCCAGAGAGCAGTCCAGGCCCAGAGGGTCACGGATGAATCTGTGCTTGGGCTCAGGACTCATCTGGGGCCCATGGTGAAGGTCCAGGTCTCTATGCAGTTTGAGGGTCACCACCTCATTATAATTTCTTTCGCAATATGCTTCCCTCTCCAGCAAAATGTTGACTACCAAAGCTTCAGTGAGCTGGTGGAGAACTTCAAGAAGACCCTGCAGCACACTGACCCCATGGTCTTGGATGATTTTGGCACTAGCCTACCCTTCATTGACATCTACTTGTCTACTCTAGACAACCAGGATACTACTATCTACAAGTCAGTCCCATCCTGCCACCCCTGTCCAAGAAGACTAGGCCTTTCCTGGTCTCTGGGGGCTTTCTTGAGGTTAAGGTCAAGGCTGAGTGCCTCAGGAGACTGAACGGGGAGATGGTTGATGGACAGAGTGGGTAGGATGGGCCAAGACCCTACTTGGGGGTATAGGATTCCATGTATATAGTGGGGTACAGTCTGGACCACTGTCTCAGCCAGCTGGGCTACTGTGTGGACAGACTGTGGCTGGTGGAATCTGTTCCCCTTGCCCCTCCTCAGGCCACCCTGGCCCATGTTTAAATGCTCCATCCTGGCCTTACATGTCCAGTGCCTTACTATTTTCAAGGAGCAGATGAGAGAGCACTCGATGGCAAGTCAGGGGCCTAGGCACCTGGCCCATTTCTGCCACCACCTTCCTATATGACCCTGGGCAAGTCTCTGCCTTCTCTCCATCACAAGAAGGGTTTCTGGGCTAATTCAATGAAAGAAAAAGCCTCTGCAGCTCTTAGTTTGGCTGGCCCAGGGTCTGTGCTCTGGGTAAGTTAGCTGTGACTGTAACTGGCTTCTACTGAGCAGGAAGGATGTAACACCTGGCAGAGGGATGGTGACCCTAGGAAGTCATGGTGGGCTCTCAAATAAGGACATGAGAAGCCTGGCTTCTCAACAAAAGCCCCCTGGAGGACTTCTTAGACTGGAGGATCAAGGAATCCCAACTTCTGGCCCAAGAATGGGCCAGGTGCTGTCTGGGCACTGCCACACATTTCACCTCACTGTAGTTCAAGGCTCTTTTGTCTCCAACTTGACCATGGGATTATGTGATTACTCCAGGGGAATACAGGGATGAGGCAGACTGGGACTGTAGTGTATACACACCAGATGTGGTGACTGCACAGGTGCATGTATGTGGTAGGTAGGGCCAGGCTGGAGCAGAACCAGAGAGCCCACCCTGAGCCCAGGTCCTGTCTCTCCCTGTTCCATTCTCTAGGCTTCAAGAGCTGTACTATGAGATTGTGCACGTGCTGAGCCTGATGCTTGAAGAATTGCCCAAGCAGCAGTAGTCCTAGTCATTGGAAGCAGCTGAGAAGTAGCTGGGTGGGGAACACCCAGGCACTGAGAGTGTCCCAAGCTGCAGGAGTTCTCCATTAAATACAGACCTTCTGAGTTGTTTCTCCATAGCTGTGTGATCATAGTATTTGCCCACATTTGGGAATTGGACTTGAGGAAGTGCTCATGAAGTCCTACTCCCTGGAACATATTCATCCCTCTTGCACATAACACAGCCAGAACTAGGGAGTGGGGAAAATAGGGGAGGGTCAAGACTCACCCTGACCAGAGCCCAGCCACTGGTCTACACTAGCTCTAGCCTCCCTTACCCCAGCAACAAAGACCCACTGGGGTCCCGGGAAATCCAACAGTCGTTCACCCTCTCACCCATATACCAACTGCTACTGACTGAGCTGGGCTGGGTGCTGGGGTGCTGTGATGGAAAGAACCATAGTCTAGCCCTCTCCTTCTTGAACTCATGGATGAGTAGGGGACACAGTAATCCAGCCAGACCTGATAAGAGAATGTATCCCTGAGGAGGTGATAATAATTGTTAGAATGCAGACAGCACATGTCTTCTAAAAAACTAAAATAATTTCCATTTGCAAATCTCCACACACACTCTCCAAGCCAAATTAAAAATCAATAGTGCCCAGGAGAATTGCCCGTGAGCATGAGCCCCATCACCATGTGGGGGAGCCCTCTGAGGACAGGGAATGTAGCTTAGCTGCTTCTCAGGTGCAGAAATAGATGGGGTGTTTGTGCCTCTCTTGGAAGGGGGAAAAGCTCAGGGCCTTACAGGTCAGTGCCAGGCCACGTAGCCTTAATATGTTCAGGTAAATGGGTTTCCAGGGTGCAGCCACAATTAATAAGGTGGGCAGACCCCAGTTAGTGGCTCCAACTCACCTTTCAAAAGAACAAAAAAAGCAAACCCAACCCAACCCACTCCCATGGAGTGGCTGGTGGGTTATGAACCACCAACCTTGTGGTTAGCAATCAGATACCCTTAGGCACCGTGCTACCAGAGCTCCTTACTCACCTGTCAGGGCTGGGGCAAAGCAGATATTGCAAACTGCTCACACTAGGTGTGCCAAGGCTACTCAGGGGACTGTTAAAACACAGCCACTTGCTTTCACCCGGAATCCTGGAAATTGCCCCAGGTGTCTAGAATGAACAAAAGATTTAAAAATTTACCTCAAGGGTGACAAGGTGGAAAACCCCAGTTTTGGAGTCAAGATACCTGAGTTCCTTAACTGGGCAACATTGGGCAAGCTGTCTGATCTTTCTAAGCCTCAGGTATTCCTTCTTAGAAATGAGCTGACAAAACCAACTAACTATAAAGTCAAATACAATATCGTACAATCAACTGTGGCTCCTGCTTCCCAGCCGTCAGTCCCCTTTGGGGGGCCAGCTGCAGTGCAGTGCAGTGCAGGCCTCTGCTTCTCATCCGGACTGGGCCAACATCTAGGCGAGAGGAGGAAAGTACGGACCTGAGAGCAGGAAGCAGATGCCAGGAAACTGCAGAAGTGGGTATGAATGGATTTTGAGGTGTAGCTGATGCTGGATGGGCCCGTGGCAATTCAGACCTGGTTGGGTCAGGTCTTGGGCCCAGCAGGGCAACCTTGGGTATGGGCCTTTGAGTGTAGTGTTGGAGGGCAAGTGCCTTTAGGGCACAAGCAGACAGGCTGTCACAGAACAGAGAACTGGGAGGGGATGACGTGCAGGGGGCTGGCCCAGCCCTGCTGGCAGAACAAGCCGATGGCTATTTGGCGCAAAGTCCCAAAGCAGCATTTCTGTTTGGCTCTATTCGCCTGCAGAGCAAACACTGGCAGATTGGAATTCCCACTTGGGCTCTCCCCAACTCAAACAGGCTTGGCCAAGACCTTCAATTGATTTGCCTGGGGCAGAAGTGGCTCTGCTTGCCCAGGCCGGGCTATGGAAAGCAGGATGCTCCTCCCATCTCCCACCCTGGGATCCAGCAGGGCTGTCCCCAAATGGCTCCTTCATCACCATCCTGCCAGCTTGGTGGCTTGGGGGATGCAGGGGCCCCCTGGCCTGAGCTTATTCTGGTCACACCCAGGCCCTCCCCCAGCTCTTGTGGGAGGGCTCTGGAGTCCAAAGCTAGAGGTGTTTGGAAAGTGGCCGATTTTTTTTTTTTTTAACTGCTTGTTGATTTCCCTAGCAGGAAGCAGTCCTTATATTATGGGGACTCAGGCAGAGACTAGGAATATAAGCTTTCTTATTTATTCCAACAGCTTCTAGAAGTCTGAGAGGCTGGAAACTATACACCTTGATGTTTCCTTCTAATGCAGGGGAGATAAGACACCTCCCAAAACAAGCTGCCCTTCAACAGGTCAGGTTTTGCTCCCAGTGGTGTCTCCACCTGTTTTGATCTCTGTCCCAGGACCCAAATTGCCTGGGCCTACTCTGTTGTCTTGAGAGAGAAGGTGACTTTTTTTTTTTTTTTTTTTTTTAGGATTTGGGTGAAGATTTATAGAGTAAATTCACTTTTCATACAGCAGTTCACATATACTTTGTCTCATGTCATTGACCAAAATTTACAATGCAGCAGCTCCCCTCCCACTTCCTCCCCATAGTTACCTCCTCCCAGTGTCCATCCCTTCATACTCTTCTGCACCCTGAGCTATCTCCCTGTGCATAAGCAGCCCTTCCTTCTCCCACGATTGTTCTCTCCAGGGCGTGTGTCTACTTGAGGTAAATGTTTAACTCACATGCCTGTACTTTGTTTGGCTGGAAACCACAGTTGTGGGTTCAATTCCAGACCTGAAGGGCAGCTAGGGGCCATAGTCTCAGTGGTTACACCAGGCTCTATTGGACCAGCAAACCTGGTCCCCACCTTCTTTTTTTTTTTACGTCCAAATGATTTTGAGTTTTGTTCCACATTGTTCTCCCTCTTTATGCAGGATCTCCTATATCCCTTCCAAGTGGATGGCAGTGGTAGCTGGGCACCATCTAGTTCTTCTGGTCTCACAGTTGTATAGGTTGCAGATCGGATGGTGTACCAGTCGCTAGGACTGATTGTTTCCATTAATTTTGGTTTTCTTCTTTCGAGAAGGTGACTCTTAAGTTCTAACTGGGCTCCTCAGAAAGGAGAGGTGACTGCTGCTGATTCTAGTCATAGGGCTTGTGAAATGGGGGAAAGTAGCTGAATGTGATGGAACCAGGTATACTAACAGATAAGGGTCCTCACTCTTCCCCACACTCTGCTAAAAAGAATTTTGTATCTGCTTGATCAGCACATGCCTCCCTTCCCACGAGTTCTACTTTGACTGCATTTATTTTAGGCTTTTGGTGATACAGCATTAGGAGAATGGTGGTGAGTCGGTACTAGAGAGCTGGAAGGGAAGGGCAGTAGTGTTCTTGCTTCTAGGTCTGCCCCTGGGTTCTCTCTGGTGGAGAACCAGGGTAATGGGCAAAACAGAGAACAAACTAAGACACCAGAGACACTTGGTTGATGGACGCAATAAAGAGCTACCGCAAGGAAGTGAAGAAGGAAGTAAAAGCTGAGGGTGGACATCAGACTTTTGGAGAGAGGCTCTTGTGTGAGATCTGGAAAGGGAGAAATGGGGGTTGAAAATGTCCATGTGGGTTAAGAATCGGATCCGTTTAATGTTCTTTGAGACAGGCAAATAATGATTGGAATTATCTTTAGGTTACTTGTGTTTGCTGTACTGTCCCTTTGCAAAATGGAACTCCAGAAGTAGATCAGACCACATGACCTGGATTATATTTGGGTTACATAAAGATCACCCTGTGAAATAGAGGCTTCTGAGGCTAGAAATGAGGAACTATGAAGAGTGCCTTATCTATCACACACTGAGCCCCCCTCTCCCCAGCTAGGATCTTCACTCTAGATGAAGTACTACCCAGAGTGTGGCAGCAGCAAGTGTGACTAACTTTTTGCAACATGAAGCTCAAGTCTCAAAAGAAAAGTATGGCAAGAGCAACATGAGAGCCTGTGCTAAAACTCTTGGATAGAAGAAATCAAAGATTGACTCTACCCAGTGTAAACACAACAGACGCCCACTGTTCTTCCCTCCCCACCAGTTCAGCATCCTGAGAGGACCACTGCCCTCTGGAATTGGGGCCTGAGATAAAAAGACCTCTTCAAAAATGGCCCCTAGGCCAGAGAAGAGGAGCTCTGGTGGTGTAGTGCCTAAGGCATTTGACTGCTAACCAGAAGGCTGGCGGTTCAAACCCACCAGCCACTCCTCTGAAGGAAGGTTGGGAAGAAGGTATGCAAACAGAGGTTAGGCTTGGGGTCCAAAGGTACAACCTGAGTTCTCCTTGTTGACCATGGAAATACTGTCTTTTGTTTTGTCAGCATTTCTGTGTATAAGATACTTTCATATGCACAATTTGTGTCTCATAGCAATACTCATGTATTTTCATTACTCCCATTAAACAGATGGTAAAACTGAGGTTCAAAGGGGTGATGTAATTAACCCAAAGTTGCACAACTAAGAGGGGAGGAACCAGGATTCGCAAGCAGCTCTTTAACAACTCTGCTACAATGCCAGTTTCTAAATAAATTGTTATCCCCAACTTATAGGCGGACAAATCAGCACTGAGATTCTCTCGACCAAAGGCTGGAGTCATTAAAGGGCACAGTCAGGATTTGAATGCAGGTCACACATGTACCCCTCTGCTCCACTGTCTCATAGCAACCTTGTTCTTATCAAAGTTGTTTCTCAAACTTCAAAATCCAAGCCATGATTCCTTTCTGAGCAAAGCCTGACTCTGGGAGGCAGGAGAGTAGCCCCTGAGATGGGCCTTGCTTGCCAGTTCCCTGGCACTTTCTCACACTTACCCAGTTGAGGTTCTGAAGTCTGTGGGCCCAGTGGCTCCTGGATTGGCCCTGGAGCCACAGAAATTGAGACCACGATGGCAGGAAGCAATCAGTGTGTGCAGATGGGGTGGTGACTGCGGTGCCTAATCAGGAAATTATAGCCTGGGCAGAGAGAAGGGTTTGGCTTAGATGTCGCCTTTCCCT